GAAACTATCACAATCAAAGACCAAACTATCACAATCAATGATCATGGAGTAAAACCATGTCAGACAACCGTTGAACCTGTTGCTCTAAAGCCATGGTTTGAGACCGGGCCCAAACTCCCAAAGGCGCTGCTCTCGCACCTTTTCAGCTGCGGACGGTTCGTCCGGTCCGGCCCCTTACCAGGCCGGTCCAAGGGCTTTCACCCTTGGGAAGGTTCAGAAGAAGGTTTTGGGATCTCGCGGACCTCTGAAGTGGTCCGGGTTCCCGTAGAGGTCAACTCCTCTGGATTGCGACCGATTGCAGGTGCTGCCTCGGCCTTTGCCTTAGCCTTTCCTTTTGCCCTGGGCTCAACTTTTGCTTTGGCACTTGCACCAAGCCTTGCTGGACCTTTCAATCCCCTCTTCTTGATATAGGCTTGGACGGCAGGAAGTTGCGCTTTCTTGCGCTCGTCGCAGCTACTGCAAGCTTCAAAGGAACCGCGCTTGCCGCGCTCGTTGGGCTGCTGCCAAAGCTCCCTGATAGCAGCGAGCGCCACTGAGCCTTTCAAGCCCCTCTGTTCCACCAGCTCGTCAGCTGCTATCTTCCTGACCTGAAAGGGACTGACTGTCCAGCTTCCAGTTCTCGATGTGCTCCTTCTGGGCTCGTTGATTTGCCAAAGTGATGATCCTGAGATTGAGATCTAAAGCTCGGCCCCAAACTGCTCCGCCCCTGTTTGTATCGCGATTTTGGGCTTGTCGGCGGGCCGGTGGCGGCCGCTCAGGGGTCCGAGGTCGTCGCACAGGGCTGCGACTCCTGCTCTTCAATCTCGCTCCGGACGGCTCTTCTTCCGGTAGGCTCTCTGCCTCCTCTTCTTCTTCTATTTCGTCGGCTGGATCAGCCGCTTCACTCTTCTCGCCCTTCTCAGAGATCTGCCTGGCGCGCTTCTCCTTGTGGCGGATTTTCTGCTCTTCCCGCTCCTCCTTGATCTCCTGCTTTGGGCGTTCCTTGCCAAAGTCTTTGACGCGCCTGCTGAGATCTTCTGCGATAACACCCTGCTTCTTTTGCAACCTGACCAAATCCTTGAGCTTCCGATACTGTAATGAAACTCTGCTTCGAAGTCGGAATCCGGATTTTGGTCCTGGGTGCTTCTTGGTTTGGCCCCAAATTTGTTTCTTCACCTGCTTTCTCCACGGCGCCTCAGGATCGATCTTAGCTGGGGTGTATTTTGCGTTGATGCCACGAATTTCCCAGCCGGTCTTGACACCTGTTGGAGTTGTGATGAGATCGGCGATAACTCGGCCGCCCTGTCGCCGAGCGGCTGGAGCAGCCGCTTCGGCTCCCGGCTCGACTGTTGGATCCTGCTCAGGCTCTTCTCCTCTTTGGTCTCTGCGGTCCGGTCGACCGCTGTAGTGGAATCTGCGGCCTGATCTGCCGCTTCAGTGGACTCTGTTGGCAAAGGTTGTTCGGGCAAAGGCTTGTTCTCCTCCTCTTTTACTTCTTCTCTTTCCTCTATACCAACCGGGGCGGCAGAAGCTGCCGCTCCCGATGGTTCCAGCTCCTCCTCCTCGCAGCTCTCAACTTTCTTATATCCTTCTTCCGACTTCCTTGATGCGCAGCGCTTTGTCCCTGTCACTCTCACCGGACTCTTGCGCTACCATGAAAATGCGAAGTCGACGTTGCGGAACGCCTTTTCTTCTTGAGCCAAAACACGTCGTGAGTCACGCGTCTGCACTTTACTAGCGGAGTATTTATGGGCTGTACATGCAAACAGTCATGAAGGGATATATATATATATATTATATATAGAGAGAGAGATGAAGAGATTCAGTCTTTGGGGCCTCGCCTCATGAAGAGATTTAGTGTTGGGGACCTCTCCTGATTGACCACCCCCCCAAAAAGTAACGCGCTCGACTTTCTGAACTCCTCCAAAGAAGAAACCTTCTCCGGGGTGGGTTCATTGTCCGGTGTCGCCAGCGCCCTATTTTCCTAGCCTCCCTCCCCAGTACAGATCGCACACAACCTCCAACTCAAATCATGTTCGGGCCATTGTATATTTATTGTTTGCCTACTGCTGCCGCGACCACATCAGGCCGCTGCGGATATATCACTGAGCAAAATGACCAAATACTGAATAGCGTTAATCGATCCGAGCTTCAATGTCCATTACCCTCAAGCGACTGTGAAATTGCGGGTCAGTACGGGCTCCTTCCATCAACTCCGGCAAACTCAGCTCTCCACTACCATCCTTGTCCTTAGGGATGCTTTCAGACCGAACTTGTTGAAGATTATGTTTTGCGGGCCAGCCAACAACTTGTTGTTGAAACCAGCCTGTCAATGCGCAACACAAACACACTGGATTTGGGCACACGTTGCGACGCCACATGCTTTCAAGCGTCTATTCGCGCAAAGAGGTTCGCCAGTATTTGCCTACCGCAAGATATTGTTGTTCATGCGGCAAGTTGCAATGCAAGTAGAAAAACAAACATGATTCCATCTTTGTCAAGTCTTTCACAGGAAAACAAAATGGTTGACTAAACAATATGGGTTTGTAATTTTTTAAGGTTCCCGGGCCGGGTTGTTTGACTATGCGGTATGCTTCGGGGGTATGCTTCGGGGTATGCTTCGCGCAGTGTGAAGACTAAAGTAGTAGCATTTTCAGCGGGTATGCTTCAGGGTATGCTTCGGGGGTATGCTTCGCCTAAGTCGAACATCCCAGTCCTACATAAACTGGACACCTTAAAAAAAGACAAACCCATATGGAGCTAGGTCCTTAGTTGTCCATTTCGCGGTTTATGGAAATTTGGTGGGCGTGCAGAATGTTCCAAACGACGGCGTTTTCAAACAACCCCTTCGGATTGCCCCAACCCTCCCACGATGTACTTGACGAGGAAAAAAACCGGACCCTTTGCCACCCTCAAGACGCTAGACAATTGACTTGACGTCTTGAACCAATTGAACCTGGCCTGTCGTACTGCAAGTCCTCCTCCATTTCTTCCGCCAAACTCTGCACATCGTTGATCCTGGTCAAGTCGAACCCAAAAACACAAATCATGAACCAATGGGAGTTTCGCTCAACAGGCTTACCGTAGTTTGAGTGATGGTCATCAACAGCACACATGCTGGTTTCCCTGGCATTTGCAATTTGAAGCAAAGGTTAGGACACCCTGCTGTGCTTAGAGGTGCGGTTTGACACTGTCCTTGCGTCTGCGAATGTATCCACCACCACAGCCTAGGTTACCAAGCTTGAAGGGTGGTCACTGGAGGGGTGGTTGCATGTCATCACGGCGGCGACGCTTTACAACAAACAGGTCGAACACTCCGGCGCATGGCCCAGAGCGGTTGTACAGGCGTTTAACAATCTGCACCACCCAAATGCTTAGTCTCAGCCAAAAATAATCATGTCGGAGACCCCTAAGTACAACTAATATGTGTTTTAAATGTTTAAAGGACTGCCTTCTTCAACGACTATTCAACTACAAATATGTAACATAGGTAAAGCTGCTGGTTGTTTTTCAATTAAGTACCCACCCACCCACTAGAAACACCACCAACCGTGCCCCTTGCTACCGCCACACCGCATTTACTGCACTTTCCACCGAGGCCGCGCAAGACCGCATGGCACAGCGACATCACCTATCGAAATCAGTTTTTGTTAGCCTTACAAGCGAAGAATATCGAAGAATCAATATTAAATAAAGGGCTTTGATGGTTTTTGCAAACGGAAAGGGGAAGACCCTTCGATCTGGTGCTCTTTAAATTGTTCACACGAGCTTAGTAAAGGATTTGATATAACATGTTCATACTTTGTCGGTTTTGAATTTCTTCCCAGGCGTTCATCTTTGCAGGTCCCCCTATTTGGGGGACCCCCTATTGACAAAACGACACCGGAGTTTTTTATTGTTCGGGGGCGCCTGTGTTTAATAGAAGGGATTATATAGTATTAAATATGGTCTAAAGCGTCAATCAACACCAACATGTGCTTTCTGCAAGCCGCAGATTTCTCTGCAGTGACGATTTTTGTGTCAAGACGCAATAAAGAGAACACCCCAATCATAAAACATAACTACGAGTATCATAAGTCATAACGCGTTCCATCCGTGCCGCTTGCCCACTTGCCGGCGCTCTTTCCAGACGAAACATTCCCCACAGGCAGGTGAGCTTGGTCGAACGATCGACATGGAACAAATAACTGTCCAGCAGCTTCACGCGCTTCAAAGATCTAACTAAGCGTTGTTCTGCTGGCGAGAAGGCAGTCTCCGCAATCCACAGAAAGGAATGAAAGCAAAACCCTGCGTCTGGTCAGGGCCTCCGGGGAAACATGCGACTGATGGGCATTCAGAACACGCCACAGGCTGGCTAGCAGGCGCATGGCGCAAGTTATAAGTCGATTCGGTAAGTAGTCGCATTTGCTGGCGCCACAGCCTCCATGGCTCTGGCAGAAAATTGGAAGACACGCCAAAGTAAGACCTGCATGATGCCACGCAGCCCTGGCTGTTAAAGTGAAAATCTGTCACACCAGGGACCAGGGTAGCAGCTTCCAAAGCGCAACGCTCCCAAGAATATTTGCGCGTCCAAATCGCTGCACACGCCGCCCCGAGAATGAGCATGCACAATGCAGAATAGGTGCCTACGCGACAGATCACGCAACCACCAAGCGGCACATTGGAGTGGAAATCCTTACCAAGCAAAGTGATTGTTAGAACTTTTATCAGATTGATTCTGCGAGGCTTTGGCCCCGTTCGCAAAGAACCGTGAACTCCACCTGTCATTTGCCACTTCAGGCCAAGGGGCGCGATAGTTCTTTTGGAAAGGTTCGAACTTCAGATTTTGCGACTCCTGGCCATCGGCGAAATTCAGGAAGGACACAACGACGCGCGGTCGCTCTGTTCACACGCGCGATCACCGCACCAGCGCCATTTGGTTCCAGTGGAGAGGCCAAAGGCATGTTGCTGGGTACGGGCAAACGCCCGCCGCGTGAGAAAGAATGAACTGCAGCAGGAACAGGAAGCACGCCGCAAGTGCAACCGCGCGGAAACATCCTGCTACTTGCAAGCGCCTGTTGCCTTGCCGCGCACACACCGTGTTTTGCGCGGAGCAAAATGAATGCTTCGCAATGGGGCCACAAGGCACACCACAAGTGCATACGCAAGTTGTTTGACGGCGCAGAAAGACCCTGCTGAACGCTCGCCTGTGGCGTTGCTGCGCATAGAATAACTTTATGGTGTGTAGAAAGGATGCTTCGCAAGCAGGGCAGGAGGCACATGACAAATGGAAAACGCTGTCGCCCGCGCAAAGAAATAGTATGGTCTACAGTATGGTGTAAAAAATGAATGCTCCGCAATGGAGGCGAGAGGCACACAGTAAAAGAAAGACTGTTTCATACTGCTTCGCGGCGGCGAAACGCAACTGCCTGTGTCTTGGAGGCGCATCTAACTTTACTTTGGCATTGGTGTGAAGAAGGGAAGGCTCAGCAACGGATGGAAAAGCGCAAAAGCTGCCACTTGCTACACAAACCTTTCCTGGGAAGTACGCGCAACTACCTGTGGCCTTGCTGCATATACAATATGTTTGGCGCAGCAACAAGAGATTGCTCATCAGCGGAGACGGAAAGCGCACTAGAAGTGAAGAAGCTGTCGCGGATTGAAATCCATCTCATATTCAACAACAATGTAGGTCAGGTCAGCCTCACGTCCGGGCGAACCGCAAAATGTAAAGCGCAAACAGATCAACACCAGCCAGGTTCCAAGGTGGGACACTGAGCTATAGCCTAGGCAGCGCCCAAGGTTCCAGACAGCTGTAACAAACTGCGCGCCGTCACCCAAGGTTCCAGACAGCACCTTGCTTTCAGCGCCCAACGTTCCAGACAGCAGCCAGGGTTCCAAAACAGATTTCTGGTTTTGGAGCTCCATGGACCAACTGCGCACCGCTCCAACCCCCTTTCTGACACTACCATGGTGGACCCTGGCGGTGGGCGTGCGAAGGTCCAGCGCCAGAAAAAGGCCTGACCCAACGTAAACCCAGCCAATATGCATCTAAAGCAAGTGTGAGAGCCACGCAAAGTTGTTTTGGCAAGCAGCAACAATCAGATTCAGCACGCCGAAGACCAAAGTCAGCAAACTGCCTGCCAGCCATGCCATTCACTTACAATCGAGCACCGTTCCCACATAAGACGGATGCGCCTACGAAGATGATAGCGGTCGCAGGATGTCTCTGAATGACTGGGATGGCAATCTTGCCCCAACTGTCTCCAGCAATGACGGTCTGAAAGAGTAAAAGGTTGGCGTCCATCACTGTAGACATCGCTCTCTGGCAATATCCACAATCCTCCTGACTGGGTGGTAGCGCGATGCACCGTTCTCGCCCGGGGGTTCGTCCAAGTATGTCAGTTGCACGTCATACTTACACACAACAATGCTCTCCTTCAAGCAACTTACTCAAACCTTCGCGAACATCAATCAATGAAGTCAAACTTGGAAAAGCTGCCACACTTTTGCGTAAAGAGGAATAACCGTATAAGCGTGCCCAAGCGTCAAATGTCCCTTCCAAACGGTTCATGTCCAGTAAAGCTGGGTATATGAGCTCAACCATAAGCATCGCCCATACTGTCATCACAACGAAGCATAATAGGAAGGACCTACTCAAGGTTTGACTCATCGACGATCGACCACGGTTAAAAATAGAATCAATCTCGAATATGTGTAAACGCAAAGAACAATCCATATTTTATAACAACGCTGATACCGGCAACACACCCAACAGTGCTATATATGCAACAAAGCGATGGCGAATAATATAAACAAATTTCCACACTCTGGAACCTAGAGCTCAAACGTGAGAGCGCACGCGTGAGAGCACACACGCATGAAAGTACGCGCGCGAGAACGCGGGTATGAAGGAGCACTCATCAGCACACATAACAGAGCAACCTGTAAGAGCACATGCGAGAACAAATAATGAGAGCTCTCTTTGAGAGCAAGCTGAGCACATATGAGAAGACGCATGCGCGAGCCCACATGTTTGAACAACCACACCCGAGCACACATATGAGTGAGCGCATGTATGAGAGCACTCGCATGAGAACGCAAATATAATCGCACACATATGCGCCCAAACACGTGAGAGCACTGAGCACAGTGAACATACGAGAGCACACACACACACGAAAGCACAGCGATGAGAGCACGCATATGACAGCGCGCGTATGTGAGCAAACGCACGAGAGCGCACATATAAGGGCACACTCATTAAACAAAAATATCCGCGCAAGAGACCCCAAACAGTGTGTGAGAGGTCTGTAAGCAGAAAGACTAGAGATCTAGACGCATTGGGGCCCAGAGAGGTGATGGCGGTGATGAAGTGAAGGTGGGTGTGAGTGAGTGTGGATGAGAGGGAGTGTGAGTGTGAGTGAGAGTGGGAGAGTGAATGTGAGTGCGAGTGTGAGTGCGAGTGAGTGTGGGCGAGAGTGAGAGTGAGAGTGAGTGTGAGTGTAAGTGAGCGTGCGTGAGAATGAAGGTGGGGGTTAGTGAGTGTGAGCCTCTGACAGCACAAAGTACTGCACCTGCCACGAAATTTGCACTTCGAGGTTCACCAAGCGCTGTGCCTGTCACGAAATCTGCACTTCGAGGTTCACCATACGCTGTGCCTGCCACGAAATCTGCACTTCGAGGTTCAACAAAGCGCTGTGCCTGCCACGAAATCTGCACTTCGAGGTTCACCAAGCGCTGTGCCTGCCACGAAATCTGCACATCGAGGGTCACAGAGTGCTGTGCCTGCCACGAAATCTGCACATCGAGAGGGTACCTGCCACAGGACTTCAAGGTTCACCACAAGTGCTGCGCCTGCCACGAAATCTGCGCGTCAAGGTTCACCAAGCGCTGCGCCTGCCACGAAATCTGCACATCGAGGTTCTCCAAGCGCTGCGCCTGCCACGAAATCTGCACATCGAGGGTCACAGAATGCTGCACCTGCCACGAAATCTGCGCATCGAGGGTCACAGAGTGCTGTGCCTGCCACGAAATCTGCAAAGGACCCACATATCCAAAAGTCACGATTCACTGCACCTGTTTTGAAATCTGAGCTCCTCGACGATCACCGCCATGTCCAGAGTGCTGCGCCTGCCACGAAAATTGCATTTCGAAGTCGAACAGCTCCGATCCCTTGCACCTGTCACGAAAAGTCGACTTTGGAGCGCCGCCTGCCACGAAAAGCGATCGCCATGTCCGAAAATGCGCGCGGCACCACAACGAGAGCGCAGTCGCTAGAAGCACTTGCCGCAGCGACCCAGATTCTGCGAACCTGCGCAGTCGAAGTGCATACACACACACACATGATCGCACCAATGGCACTTCGAGATGAAAAATGCTGCATTAGGTCACAAATCGCTGCGCTGCTACAAAATCTGCAGAGAGGATTCCCTTGCCCTGCCACAGAGTGTGACCAAGAAGTCCAATGCGTGCGGCGCCACAGCGAGAAGGGCGCTATCGAAACGCACTTAGAAGATTTCGAGAGGCGTGAATGCGCCGAATCCGGAATTGGTTTTGGACAGCCCGCGCCAGAGTAGGGTGCGGAAGCAGGTGGCCATCATGGTGGCGAGCTTGTGAAGTTCCCTCAATGGCCGCAACCGCTTCAAGGAGCGCAGAAGGCGGAAGATTCGCACCAGGCGCAAGGGCCGCAGCACTGTAATGCGGAAGGAGATGCTGTCTTCGGCAACGACCTGAATCCTGGGAATTCAATACTTGGATCTGATACTCTGGACAATCGCTATCGCGGCTATCCATTTTTGCTATCTGACTGCGACATTCTGCTTCTGCCCAACCACGCAAAGAAATTACACCCCTGCCCATCGTGTTGAGTGTCTAGTTCGTGGAGCAAATCTCTGAAGCTTGAATAAGGGGTGCCTTGTGGCTTGGCTTGGCGAGCTTCCAACGGGAAGAGTTGCAATCAAATATGCGATGTCCATTTGGGATGATGTATGACTTCACGACTCATCACAACTGTATTTCCTCGAAAATACATGTTCCAGTTTTCTGAAACTAGCTAGCATTAAAGCTCAGCTGAGTCTCAGTCTCTCCGCCCAGCCACATCCAATAATGGCTATATCCATCAGCATTGTCCAGTGGAGACGAGTCTGACAGTCAGAGATACAAAGAAATACCTGCAAGGGTAAATTAAACAGTGGAGCAGAGCAACAGAATCGCTTCGTCGATCAAATTGGAGCAGACTGCGCCCCCAAAAAATGAGCAAGACCCCGTCAACAGCCCACAGTGGACCGCATGTGTGCCCAGTTGCCCCCGTTGGAAGAACTCTTGATAGCAAACTACAGGAGACAGGTTCGCAGTAGAATTTGCCCCGTCTAAAAACAATGGTTTGAAAAAAGAAGGTAAGGGCCTTTTTCAACAAACAGAAGGCCTGATCCTGGGAAGAACAAGGCTTGCGCAAACCTTGCAGCAAAAACACAGTGTTTGTGTTTTATTGTTTTACAGTGAGTTCTGCTTCAGACACCTCCAAAACCAAGGTTTCGGGCTGTATATTTCTACCAATCATGCCAAGGTGTTAGGCTTCTATGCAGCTAGCAGGCCTCTAGAGATTTAAGAGAGGACACCAAAAGGAACGCACAGCCAAAAAAATAACACAAAAACATCAAACAAAACGTGCGTAAACCAACGCAAAACAATGCTGGAGTAAAATTAATTAGCGCTATCCTGCGCTAGCGCTATCCCGCGCTGGCCTCGGCTACCTCAGCTGGGTTGCGTTTATATGTTTTTGTGGGTTTGGCCTCTGTATAACATAGCTTCTGTTTTGGTTTTTGGTTTGGCACCTTTTGTTGATTTAGCTTTTAAGTTTCCCATTGCGTACTTTTCTGAAAGTCTACACCGCTAGCGCAGCAGAAACTGAGCGAAGTAAGTGTGCTCCACCCACTCCAGCAACGGTCTGTTCCTTCTTGTTTTGCTTGCTGACTAGTTGCAAGCTCTTGCTCCTCCTATTCAACTCTTTCACTGCTGATAAGTGGCTGATAAGATACAAATGATTTTCAACATCAAATGTTCATCTATAATATAACTCTCCCACTCCTCTCAACACTCTTCTCTACAAGCTCTTCCCACTCTTGATAGGGCGGCCTTACTATTGCTTCAGTAGGTCAGTAGGTTCTATACGCCTTGCTTGATAATGTCTTTCAAAACTGAGCACCAAAATGACAGCTGTTTCCACCTTCACAAGTTTTTCTTTGTCAAGTTGTTTTGCCTTATTTTCGCTATTTCTATTCTGCAGATTGCCTTCTGAAGGGCGCTAAGATTCAAGAAAGGGAAACCATTGCTAAAGAAGGCAGTGCGGTGCAAGAAGGTTGTTTAGTTTCTATCCACGCAGCAAATTCTTTCTTTTGATGTCCAGTGTCAATGATTGATGTCTTCTGTTGCTTCAGTACGCTACCTATTTCTTGCTGGAATTTTCTGGGTCAAATTGTTTTCTCTTGTTAGCTGATTCCAAAGAAGGTGGTGAGCTGGCCCACGTGCACAAGGATTGACTCACTTCTACATATCCAAGCAGCAAATTGTTTCTGTTGGTTTCCGTGTCATAGTTCTTGCATGTTCTTGCTTTTCTTCGTTTGGGCAAGATGCCAGCCAAACTCATACAGCAATTTGATATGTCTGTGTTCCATCGTACACCAAACTCCTCAATGTTGCAAATGTCCTGCTTAAGCGTTGTTTTCTCTAAGCGTGTTGGCTAGGAAGAGCCTCCTGATGAGATAGGAAATCAAATAATATCTCAATCATGCGACGCATCATGCGAGGCAGAATAGAAAGAGTCAGTTACCAGGGGCCAAAGAAAAGCCTGAGCCCGTCGAGACCAGGACAAAATTGTGAAGGGAACAGTGTTGAAGTTCAAGTCAGCATATCTGACACCAATCACTCAAAATGAGCACGCAGGCATAGCCAGAGAACGACCTGCTGATTAGTTGACGAGGATCCGGGAACCAGCAGACCGTCAGACCATGTTGAATTTGGGGGATTGCGCGAATTACGAATGTTTTGCACGACTTTTGGGGAGAATGAGGCATGTAGACGCCTTCGCAAATCGGTTTGAATTTAAGAACGGAAGGAAAACAAAGACTCTGAAACGCACCAAAATCATATGAAGCAGTATGTATAGTTATCCAGCATATACTACGAGTACACGTTCAAGCAAGAAGGCTGCGCTAACCCCAAGGAAGGAAGTCTGGTCCTGTATGTTTTCATTCCCGGTTTCTCTGGACCAAGGGGCTGAAAGCTCTATGGTGTAAAGCGCCAGGCAAAGGTCTGAGATCACGGCAAAGGTCTCACTCACCCCACTATCGGCCGCGCGCGCATTAATGTCCGCGCTGGTGCAAACAGCGTCTACCACCACAATGAAGGCCATGAAGTTCGCCCAGAATAAGCCTCAAAAACCCATTCGGGGCGACTTACGTTTCATCGTATGTTGTGGGAAAAAAGGTCAGGTCCTTGAGGAGTGGGACGCAAGCTGAGGGAATACCAGAGACAGAGACACAGAGAGAGAGAGAGAGAGAGGGGGAGAGAGAGAGAGAGAGAGATAGATAGACAGACAGACAGACAGACAGATAGAAAGAAAGATAGATAGATAGATAGAGAGCGAAAAGATGCTAAAAGGTAACAGGGGATGCGTCTGAAACAGAGCAGCGTTCAAAACCTTAGGACCTAACCAAATTCTATGCAGGACGGTCTAATGAAAAACACATGACTTATTGCAGCCTTATCGTCCGAAGGATTGCGCTGAACGTGATATTGTGGGATCAGCGATGTTCTGCTTCACAAGCAGTCTCACTGCCAGAGTGGTGGTCAAACTGCTGCCCACGCTGGAATTGCTGCTCTGTGGCTGCTCTGTGACTTTTCCATCCCTGCACTCCTCCCTTCGTGAAGCCCTTGAATTTTAAATGTTGTACTCTTTCATGCACAGCTACTGACTGTTCCAGGCTTCCATACATTGCTGCAGCTGCCCATCATTCGCTTCGGTGTGACGCACCCCAGATTGCAGCGCCACTGGCGTTCCCAGATTCGCAAAGAAAGTGATGCGGCTTACCTGGTTCTGGCGCAGCTGCTCCCCTTCTGGGTTGCCATCAAAGTATATATGAGTCTGGTGCCCAGCATTTGGCTCATGCACCAATGCTTCTCTCCATGACCGGCAGGACAAGCCAATTGGAACAGCTGCAGGCTCGACATGCAAAGAGCTGTGGTGACCAGGGTGCTGCTGCCCCGCAACCAAGGCAGCAGCAGGTGGCTTCATCGCCGTAGCACCGCTGTAGTCAGAAACTATCATGCCATGTGATGTGGGTGTGGGTGGGTTTTCCTGGATTACTTTTTGCTTATCGTTCGGTCATTGTTCGGGCTATCGTTCCCGGACAAGCCTTCCTGGGTGCTCCCTGCACAGAAGCACAGAATCTGCACAAACTGTCCCCCAAGCGCGTAAGCAGTGCAAGCCCATATACCACTGCCAAGCCCTCAGCTTGACATGCAGAAAAGGCATGTGCAAAAATCAGCCCTCCGTGGTACACCGGCAATCGCGAGGCACAGATTCCAGAGCAAGTGTGCCAGAGCTTGCCAACATCCGCACCGCGGTTCTAGCAAAACGACCCTGTATATACACGTTGTCCACTTGCTTTCCTGTGCTCCCAGCGCTTGACAGCAGGGCAAATCAAAGCCCTGGCATGGTCTTACAACAAAGATCAACAAAGGACGACGACATGGTCTGTGAGCTCGGACCAGAATGGTTTCATGATGCTTCGTGGAATGACCTGCCCAAGTTGGATTATCGTCCACTGCGCAGGGCCAACGACAGGTGCAAGCAAATCACCATGAGCCTCACTACAAGATACCAACATACACTATCGTTCACTGCCATGCCCAAGGAAACGTGCAAAAAACAGTTTTTCACACTAGAATTAGATAGCTGCAAGAAGTCTTCTTAAAGTTTGGTGCAACTCCTCATACAATCCTTACTTCAGGGTTTTAAAATATACTCTGATGAAATCTAAAGTGGATGAATGGGTCGACAAAAGAGTTACTAATTCAATGCAGGAGCTGTTCATGAATGTCTTGAGCATCGCCTTAGACGTCGTGGAGTGACGAGGGCCGCAGGGTCTTGCTGGAGGTGACGGTGATGTTTTTCAAGTATGATCAAGTATATATTGATGATTTAAGAAACTCCGAGTATTCATAGGAAGCCCGGGTGCCTAGGCATAATTACTGTGCTCATACATAAGGCTTTAAGCCTGCATTCAAAATTGCACGACAGTCACGAGGTTTATGTAAAAGGATCACAAATTGACAAGTGGCAAACCTTGTGCAAAATATAACAGGGTGAAACGGTGAAATATGGTGAAATGCTGTCCAAGCCGAGCTGGCACCAATATTACAATTCAACTATATATCGAATCTAACTCGATAATAGCTTGTCATCCCTGTCATTCAATGCCGCAATGCCAGCCAAGGGTCGCTCTTGCTCTTGCTCTCCTCCACACTGACTGTGCGGATGAAATTGGCATTCACCCGCATACTTTTGCCTGAGCGTTGTGCCATGCTCTGAAAGAGGAACTATGCTTAAGCTTCAACAGCCGATCATGAGTTCAGGCTCAGGTGCTCTTACTATTTTTGGAGTTCTGACGGCGACCCAAGCGGATCATCTCATCATTCTCTCCTTGATCCATGACCTCCTTTCACAAGGTATGCAGTGGGAGCTTAAAACTTGAGCCAGGCTGCGCATATCGCAGTGAAAAAGCTTTTCCTGTCAAATCGAGTGCTTGCGGTGCTTGCGCTATTGGATGCTTCTCGGCTTCTGATATATACGCCACCACCTCCCTGTTCTGAGGGCGGTCACTTAGACAAAGCCGCCACACTGAGATTCATTGCATTCTTACAAACGATGTCATCTTTCTCACAAATCAGAACGCTCACCCCCACCAAGAGCTATCAAAGCTTTGGCGACTTTGGCCATCAACAAGTTGTTTCTCCGGGATGCTCAAAAAGCATGTATATAACTTGGAATCATTCAACTGAAGGTGTGTGCAGGCATTGCAATGATGTCAAGGGTGGAGGCGTTCCCTTCCCCCAACTAGACTGAACTACTCCATCGCTCCCTTGCCTGTCCACCAAATACTGGAGGATAGTGATGCACTGCGATGTCAGCCTTGGCCCCCTTCCACATTAGATTTGTTATCAAGTCCCAGAATTTCACGCGTACTCTTCAAGTGCACTTCTGCAATCTCCTTCATCACATTCATATTTGCTAGGAAATTTGCTTGCAAAAAGCTTGCGAAACTTGTACTGTACGGTCCTGTATGGTGGACTTAATCGACACGCGCTGCGATACTCTTGTTTTAAGTATACTCATAGATGGGCTGAATGCGCAGAAGTAATGAATCAAGGGTCTGCTTGATAAAATTATCCAGCTTTAGGCCTTAGGCAGCAAACATCCAGAATTGCAGAATTTGAAGTCGTAAGAGTAAGGCAAAGTTCAATTCCAGGTAGATCAATATGACTGTTTCATGTCCAAAAAGTGCGATAGACATCATTGGAGGCCAAAGGAGTATGTCTCCAGGGGCTGGACAGTGGCACTGTTGGCAGGCGTACGGCTTTTGCACCAAAGTCGGTCACGAGCCTGCTCTAAGTGAATGTCTCTACAATCAGTTCACTGTGGAGAAGTCTTGTAAATGCAACTGCATCATATTGCATTGCTATTATATAGGTTGGAGGCCATCCCTAGTGAGATACATCGCGAGCCAAAGTTTTAAACAAACGTTGTTTCAACCCCAACAAACACCGTGCAAAGAAGATTGTTTGTTTTGCGAACAAAAACGAGGGTTTCAAGCCTCGCCTCCTCGGCCCCCGGGGGGGGGGGAACAAACTAACTCTGGAACGGAAACTTCGTTAGTTTCGGGGGCAAAAAACAAAGGTTTAAAACTTTAGTTTTATGGGCAGAAACTAAGGTAATGTCTGCGACAGACTTTCGACTGCGGAAAATCTGTGTTTCGAAACCCCGAAACTATAGATACAGGAGTTTGTTTCGCGGCAGTGAAACTAAAGTTTTTTGGAGAGACTGTTTCTTAATCGTGTGTGCAAGGAAGCACGAGCCTCCTTTCTACTCGGCCAGCCTCACAGAAAGCGCAGTCGTATTGGAAAGCTCCATGGGCACATTTTGAAACCTAGCTGGAAGGATTTCCTTGTAAGTTGCTGTGGGGGGGGGGCTGCCAACGGATTCTGCGAGCCTGCGCAATCGAAATGGTACGGGCTCCGTATTTTCGGTTCCTGGAATCCGACTTTCGGTTCCCTAGCGTCCTTTTTTCCCGGAATTCGGTTTTCGGTTCCCACCGGTGATTGCGCTGCGCCCTCCCCCGCACCCCCTCAGCCGGCGGAGCTCGCTTCGCTCCGCTCTCCCCCAAAACCGAAGAGTGCACGTCTGCGAACGAAAGTTTGCACCGTGGTTATTCCGTCTCAAAGCCACCGTTCTGCCGCGCTGCGCCCCGCTCAATTTTGACACGAGCCTCTGTCAAACCTTTTTTGTCTTCCTGTCCACCCCCGCTTCGCCTCGCTTTGCTCGGCTGCGTGGGTGGCGACAG